TAGAAAGACTAGAAAGGAATTCACATACTGGTGGAGGAAATCTTTCTTCATCTGAGCTCCAGATGAAAAAAAAATCTGTTTTTGGAAATCAAAAACTCTAGCTCAGAATTTCCACTACTATTGTAGTACAGAAACTCCAAGCCAAGAAATTTGCATACAGATTGTCCCCGAGCCAGATGCCCCTGGGATGCCTGGCAAAAGCAAATGCAATGCTGGGAAAATATGTATTGGAGAAATACTAAGCAAAAGAAAGATAGAGTAATTATGTTAATATCAGAGGGGAATGGGAAGGAAGACTTTAGAAAAAACTTGGGATAGAGAAGATGTAAAGAATAATTGTTCTATGTATTCTGTACAGAAATCCAAAAGATACAGCAACTCCAAATGCATGAATGCATGAAACTAACTGGGCTAAAAATATGCAAATAATAATTTGATAGTATTACCAGGATAATTAATAAATACAAATCATATGAGAAACTTTAAGATGTCTCAATCATTAACAGAAAATATATACAACAATTCTATAAGGTTATAGCTACACAGTTTTCCAGTTTGATCTATTTGACATGTATAGGAAATGCTGCAGTCATTAACAAGAAAGGCCCATTTTTATATTGAACATTTTATTAAAATGTATATTCTGTATTTATCAGATGCAATACCTTAAGGGTCACAAAACAATTCTCACATAACATCAAAATACCAGTAGCATATAGACCTTGTTTTCTGCCCACATTTAAGTTAGATATCAGTATTAAAACTGTAACACACACCTTGTATTTGGATATTTAAAAAATTATTTGAACTAATATGTATATTATCAAAAGAATGATAATAGAAATTTTAAAATTTAGAATGTAAGATAATAACACTGTATCAAAATTAATGTTCAACATCTATACAGAAAATCTGTAGCCTTAAAGGCATCCAGGTAGAATTGAACAAAGGTAATAGTAAGCATAGAACTTAATATTGAAGTTGAAAAAATATAAAATAAGGATCTACAAATCCCAAAACTCATTCTTTGAAAATACTAATATATTAGCTACTTCTAGCAAAACTGATAAGTAAAAATAAGAAACAGAAGTGAGTTAATGACAGAAAAGGGGACAAAAAACAGATGTATGGCAGTGCTTTTTTTTTGGAAGCACAAGAATAGAATGAACAACTAAATCCAAGTGAATTAGAAGAAATAAAAATGTTAAAAATCATAATGTATTTATAACCATTATTATTTATTTGAAAATATTAAGTGAAATGAAAATATACATTGAGAATGTACCCTCTTTCCCCATCCCGCACACAAAATATGAGGATCAGTGTATGTATGAATCCTAGCACTCCTTTGTAAAATGGAAAATCCTCATGCTACACATAAACTCTTAGAAAATCTAGAAAAGTAGGGGCGCCTGGGTGGCGCAGTCGGTTAGGCGTCCGACTTCAGCCAGGTCACGATCTCGCGGTCCGTGAGTTCGAGCCCCGCGTCAGGCTCTGGGCTGATGGCTCGGAGCCTGGAGCCTGTTTCCGATTCTGTGTCTCCCTCTCTCTCTGCCCCTCCCCCGTTCATGCTCTGTCTCTCTCTGTCCCAAAAATAAAATAAACGTTGAAAAAAAAAAAAAAAAGAAAATCTAGAAAAAGAAGCAAATATCTCTAAATATTTGTGAGGTTGTATAATCCAGATATCAAAATCAGATAAGGACAAAAGGTATGTAAAATTGTCAACCAATAACTTACAAATATTTACTGAAATAGCCTAAAAATATTAGTGACCAATTACAGAAAACATATCATGACCAAGTAGATCTTATTCCAGGAATATATGCATTTTTTAACATTGTAAAGTGAAAAGGCTTACAATTATCTCAAAAGATGATTTAACATCTGCTTGTGATAAAATCTCTTAGCAAAGTAGGAAGAGAAGTGATATTTTTTCATCTGAAAGAGAACTTTTGAGGAAGGTATAGTAAACATCTTTTTTAAATTTTTAATTTATATATATATATGTATGTATATGTATTTATTTATTTCTCAATTTAGTTAACATACAGTGTAGTCTTGGCCTCAAGAGTAGAATCCAATGATTCATAACTTACATATAACACCCAGTGCTCATCCCAACAAGTGCCCTCCTTAATGCCCATCACCCATTTTCCCCATCTCGCCCACCCCTCCACCCCCATCAACTCTAAGTTTGTTCTCTGTATTTGAGTCTCTTATGGTGTGCCTCCCTCTCTGTTTTTTCTTATTTTTCCTTCCCTTCCCCTATGATCATCTGTTAAGTTTCTCGAACTCCACATATGAGTAAAATCATGTGATGTCTGTTTTTCTTTGACTTATTTTGCTTAGCATAATATTCTCCAGTTCCATGCACATTTTTGCAAATGGCAAGCTTTCATTCTTTTTCATGGCTGAGTAGTATTCTGTCATGGAGTTTTCTTAATCCATTCATCAGTTGATGGATATTTGGGCTCTTTCCAAAATTTGGCAATTGTTGATAGCACTGCTATAAACATTGGGGTACATGTGCCCTTTCGAATCAGCAATCTTATATCCTTTGGATAAATTCCTAGAAGTGCAATTGCTAGGTCATAGAGTGATTCTATTTTTAATTTTTTGAGAAACCTCCATACAGCTTTCTAGAGTTACTGCACCAGTTTGCATTCCTGCTAACAGTGCAAGAGGATTCCCCTTTCTCCACATCCTCACCAACATCTGTTATTTCCTTAGTTGTTAATTTTAGCCATTCTGATGGGGCTGGGGTGGTATCTCATTGTGATTTGTATTTCCCTGATGATGAGTGATATTGAGCATCTTTTCATGTGTCTTTTAGCCATCTGTATGTTTTCTTTGGAAAAGTGGGTACTCATGTCTTCTACCCATTCTTAATTGGGTTATTTGTTTTTTGGGTGTTGAGTTTGGTAAGTCCTTTATAGATTTTGGGTATTAACCCTTTATCACATATGTCATTTTCAAATATTGTCTTCCATTCCATAGGTTGCCTTTTAGTTTTGTTGATTATTGCCTTCACTGTGCCGAAGCTCCTTACCTTGATGAAGTCCCAATAGTTCATTTTTGCTTTTGTTTCCCTTGCTTCTGGCTATGGGTGTAGTAAGAAGTTGCTAAAGAAATAGATTGGAAAGATTTTTTAAAAACAAAAAGTAATGACTCTCTTATGTAAAGTTCACTTCTCTGGGCACATGTGGATGGCTCAATTCTTGATTTCAGGTCATAATCTCTTGTTCCTGAGATTGAGCCCTGTGTTGGACTCAGTGCTGACAGCATGGAGCCTGCTTGGGATTCTCTCTCTGCCTCTCTCTCTCTCTCTCTCTCTGCCCCTCACCCCTGTTTGCTCTCTCTCTCTCTCTCTCTCTCTCTCTCTCTCAAAATAAATAAACATTTAACATATAATAATAATAAAGTTTACTTAATTGGACTATTTGTAACAAATGTAGAACAGAGCATTAAAAATAAACATATGAGTCCAACTGTATGATGTTCTGGAAAAAAACAACAGTATGGAGAAATTTAAAAGATCAGTGGTTGCCAGGGGTTCAATAAGGAGGGGGTAGAGGAAGGATGAAAAGGTAGAGCACAGGAAATTGTTAGGGCAGTCAAACTATTCTGTATGATACTGTAGTATTGGATACATGGCGTTATGCATTTTCAATACACATAATATTTATGACACAAAGGGTGAACCCTAATGTAAACTATGAATTTTAGTTAATAATTATGTATTAATATTGGTCATCAAAGGTAATGAATATATCACACTAATGAAAGATGTTAATAATAGGGTCAGGGGAAAGACACTGGATATTTGGGAACTTTGTACTTTCTGATCGTTTTTTCTGTAAATCTGAAACTGCTGTAGGAAACAAATTATATTAATTTAAAACAAACAAAAATGCATAGCACCTGAATTAAAACCACAATACTTGGGCTCTAAGCAGATTTCCTTTTCTCATATATGGGATGCTCAGGCATTCTCTCAGGGCATCTCTACTTTTGTTTTAGTTATACTATTAACAAATCCAGTATACTGATTTCCCATTTAAGTTGTTAGAAAGGGTACATTCAAGGAAGGAAGAAACTTATTTATTGTAACAATTTTCATCTAGCAGAAAAAAGTGATATTGGAAGGTCTGTCAGTATAGACCTGCCACTTTGCATTAGCTACTTTCTAATTGTCACCCCGCCCCCCAACAGAACCTCCTGGCTACCCTTGAACCTCTCTTAGAAACTCCCTTACCTCCAGACTTCTTGGGATCCATCAGATACAGGATTAATATATGTTACCCCTAAAGGTCTTCAAAGACAGCTTTAGGACTGTGACTAATGTATCTCCTGATTGGTGTCTTTGCCTTATTTGTTGTCAAAATGTTTGAATATCAAGCATAGATGCAAGAACTCAAAAAAGGCAAAGCAATATGTGGCGATTTAGAATGGAGGTGAGAGACAAAACAACACAGATGAAAATGAAGACTGAAATATGTGGAAATATGTATAGCTTTAGAAATCTATTCTTTTAATTTCTGTAATACTTTAGTTTTCAATGGGATAATGCAATAATGAGTCATACAGTAAAGGTTAAATTATCTTCTATATGTTCTTTTTCTGAAGCTAGAAAAGTACGTAAATTTTTTTGGAAATATCTTTATCCAATACATATTTTTTTAAAATAGGAGTTTTCCACATCTCCCTGAGGTCTTCTGTGTGCTCTCATGTTGAACCTCACTGTAGCTCTGAATGTGAAGTTTAGAATTGTCTATTTATAGCTCTGAAGTTCTGTGAGGCCAGCAATTGTAACTTAGTCATCATTGTATAACTAGTACCTAAAGTAAATTCTACACAAAATATGGAGAAGATATTTGTCAAAAAGTGTAACTTTTGTTATCTAGAAAAATCCAATTGTTTGTAATGATATTAGATTAATTTGACTTTTTAAGAAAAAATAACACATTATAGGAGAATAAATATCTTAAATTTTTTTTCAGATCAGAGAATTGTCAGCATGCAAATTCAGACAGTTACCAAATTCAAAACAGTTACTAATGTTGTTGGATATTTAAAGGGCTTGACATCTCCAGGTAAGTAGGGCTAAGTATTTATATCTATATTTATAATCTATTTATAATCTATACTTTATATGAACCATCACAAGAAAATTCTCTATAACAATGTAATAGCATAATTAAATGACCTACTTTAGATGTAACTAGTTCACACACACCACTATAAGAGTGAGTCAATATGAAATGAAGAAGTAGGTCTTCATTCTCTTTCTCATTCTCTTCAAAAATAAATCAAAGTAGGAAGTGTAAGGGGAAAAAACCCAAAATGAGAAAACAGAGTTTAGATTTATTAAATTGGCATGTGCCTCATGAAGAAAAGCTACAAAAAACCAATGGTTTTTTGGGTTATTTTGTTTTTTTATTGCTCTTCTCTGTAACATCACTGGAATTTTCACTTTTATCAAGAAAAGACTACTTTAGAAAGAAAATATTTTAGTTTTAATGATGTCTTTTTTAAAAAATAAAAGTTTTTATTTCCAAAATATGATCTTTCAGTGTTATACTATATTTTCTATGAGCCTTGGTCCACTGACAGTTCTGCCTAATGTTTACATGGCTTTAGATTTTGAAGATGCTTATGAAAATGATCACCTGGTAAAATTTTAAATTATTTTCCGCCTGTCTTTGGGATGCTTATGGCATCTTCAGATGATGTTATGCAGGCTAAAAAAGTAAAACATACTGGTACATATATTAATTAAGAGATTAATATAGCAACACTTCCAAATACATTGTGAGGTTGAGCCACATGCTGCTATCTGATGTGCTTAGTATGCAGGGTAGAATGCAGTGGTCTATTTAGCACACTTGTGTCACTTCTGTTGATTTGGTTGGGATATTTACTCAAGTTCTCCTTGGAGAATTATTTTTCGCCACAACTTTTGTCAAATTGACTCTATAATTGATAACCCAGAAAATTCTGAAATCAAGTTTTACGTACCCCCAAGTTTCCTGCCAGCCAACCTCTATAAAATTTATGGAAGATACGTATTTTCTCTGATTTCCTTACAGTAGCAATGGTGAACAACCTCTGATTTAATGTCTTTAAATACAATGTATAAATAGATTTGGAAATTGGTACTGTTGCATTTCAACTATTTCAACCAGTTTTCATCATCAGAATCTCTAACTGAAGCACCAGAAATATTTGTCATCATTGGTGCATTTGGTAGTTTTTATGGAAAAACCAAATTGTACAAAACTATATTAGCTTTAGGGTAAAAGCTTTCCAAATTGAAATTCAATATAGAAAAAATCAGTTTCTTAAAATCAATTTACTAGTAGTATTCTTCAGTGTATAATATGTAAAGCTTCTCAAATTTTGCTTATTTGAATCCTACACAAAAATATTAGCTGCTCATTAACATGATTTTCTTATTTAATGGCTCTGAAAATTAGAAACAATCATCAATTAGTATTAAGGCTTTTACATATGGTTTATCTAGAATACAGATAATCCCAAGCAGAACTTTCGCACATATCTCGGAGATGAGTAAATACATTTCCTGAGTTTTAACCTTTACAGCCACTGTATATATACTATTACTTAAATTTTGATAAAACGTTGGCAGATCAAATTTATTGCTGGTTCAAAAATCAGTATAGAAAACTAAAATAGCTTCACACAGTGATTTCCCATCAAATAGCTTTTTGCTGCCATGAAGGGATAATTCATTTATTCCACACATAGGCAGTTCTTATGTGATAGGCCCTGTTAAAAGTGCCTTGCAAATAGTAACTCATTTAAAACTCAAAGCAACTAGGAGGAGAGGCCAACAAGGCAGAGAAGTAGGGGGATCCATACTTCCTGCATCTCTCAAACAAAGATGGGTTGAAGCCAAAGGACTTTGAACCCCAAGAGTCTGAGAGGAAAAGAGTCTGAATCTACTAGGGAGACACTGGGATGGTGGGCCATATGTGGGTGATTACAAACTGGGGCAGATAAAACAGGCTGTGTAGGCATGAAGGGGAGGGATCCCCTTCTGTGGAGAAACAAAGGGAGAGAAACAGCAACTGGGTAAGCATAAGACTGTATCTGGACAAGAGAAAAACCTCAGACGGGGATGGAGAGGGATCCCATCTCTAACTGTGGGCTTCTATGGACCGGGGCAGGTGCCCTGTTCTCGCACCTGGGAGGAGGGAAACCAGCCCTGGACTCAGTAGCTAGGTCAGGGGCTCAGTCCACAGTAGGAGAAAGTGGTCCCCTCCTTGGAGTACTGTGAGAGAGGACAAAACAAGCCAGGACCACATATTGGGTGGCATAGAGAGGTGCTTCCCCAGTGCCAGGGCTCACGGAGCAGGAGTTTAAATCCCAGCCAAGCTCCAGGGCATGGGAGTCGGTGGAACAAGACAGATGGCCTCGTCTGCATCCATAGCACAGTGAGGATGGCTCCACAGGGTCTGTGGAGAAGAGACTGGGTGGGGGAGGGGGGGTTGCCATTTCTCTCCCCACCACCACCAAGGTGGAGCCTCAGGGATTGATCTGCAGGGCCCACAGTGGAGGCAGGACTCACCTACACCAAACCATGCCCCTCCGTGCCGGATGACTGCATATCTACTGGGACAGGATAGATGCTGAGGAACCAGAGGACCCGCTCCTCCAGACCAGTGCTGCTGCATTGCCTGGATTAATTCTCAGAGGTTATTTAGATATATTCTTCCTTCATTTTCTCCTTCTTATCTCTTCCCTCCTCTAGGCTGGTTACTCTGGTTGTTGGTTTGTCTAAACAGACATATTTAGTCCATTCTCTTGATACATGTTCTACACCTCCTTCTTTACTTCCCTTTCTCTGTCTCTGGAATAATCAAGCTATATAGTTTCTCTGTCTGGGTAACTTTATCTTAATTTCTTCTCCCCCTGCCTCCTTCCTTAATTTCCTTTCTCTCTGTCTGGATTAAGCCTTTTAGTCTCTCTGCCTGGTCAATGTTTATTGCTTCTTTTTCCCCACCCCTGTCATTTTTCTCTTTGTATGTGCTCTTCCATCAGCATCGCCTTCACCCTGTTCTTTACTTGTAGTGGGTGTTTCTGGTTTTTTACTTTTAGATTGTTGTTTGTTTGTTTGTTTTTTGTTTGTGTGTTTGCATGTTTTTTTTCCTGTTTGTTTTCTTTTCCAGGGCTACTTCAAGGAACAAATCAAAGCACGTTTGGTGGAGAGCCCAAAACATCACTAGGAAAATAACCCAAGTCACAACAACAGAAATCAAGTAACACTCTCCCCAAAAAAAAAAAAAACCACCTCCTGAAGGGCCAGGCCCTGGACAGTATGTGACTCCCCTTGAATATAGCAGTGCTTTCAGATGGAGAGCACACAACAAGCTTTTAAAACTCATAAGGCAGGGGCGCCTGGGTGGCTCAGTTAGTTAAGCGTCCAACTTCAGCTCAGGTCATGATCTTGCGGTTTGTGAGTTCAAGCCCCGCGTCGGGCTCTGTGCTGACAGCTCAGAGCCTGGAGCCTGCTTCAGATTCCGTGTTTCCTTCTCTCTCTGCCCTTCCCCTGCTCATGCTCTGTCTCTCTCTGTCTCAATAATAAATAAAACATTAAAAAAAAAAACAAACGAAAACTCATAAGGGACAGAAAACTAGCCAAAATAACCAAACAGAAGAATTCTCCTCAAAAAAAATTCCAGGGAGAAGTGACAGCTAAAGAATTGATCAAAACAGATATAAGCAATATAACTGAACAAGAATTTAGAATAATAGTCACAAGATTAATCACTGGTCTTGAAGAAAGCATAGAAGATAGCAGAGAATCTATTGCTGCAGAGATCAAGGAACTTAAAAAAAGTCATGATGAGTTTAAAAATGCTATAAATGAGGTGTGAAATAAAATGGAGGTGACCACAGCAAGGATTGAAGGGGCAGAGGGGAGAATAGGTTAATTAGAAGATAAAATTATGGAAAAAGAGGAAGCTGAGAAGAAAGAGATTAAAGAAATCCAGGATCACAAGAGGAGAATTAGAGAACTAAGTAATGCAATCAAACGGAACAATATCTGTATCATAGGAATTCCAGAAAAAGAGAGAGAAAGGGGGTGAAGGTGTATTTGAACAAATCATAGCTGAGAACTTCCCCAATCTGGGGACGGAAACAGACATGAAATCCAAGAGGCACAGAGAACTCCCTTTAGACAATCCCAGAAGAATCAATCTTCTGCACGATATATCATAGGAAAACTAGCAAAATACCAGGATAAAGAGAGAGTTCTGAAAGCAGTTAAGGATAAACGGGCTTTATCATACAAAGTAGACACATAAGGGTAGTAGCCGACCTATCTATTGAAACGTGGCAGGCCAGAGAGGAATGGTAGGAAATATTCGATGTGATGAACAGAAAAAATATGCAGCCAAGAATCCTTTATCCAGCAAGCCTGTCATTCAGAATAGAAGGAGAGATAAAAGTTTTCCCAAACAAACAAAAACTGAAGGAATTCATCACCACTAAACCAGCCCTACAAGAGATCCTAAGGGGGACTCTGTGAGAGAAATGTTGCAAGGACCACAAAGGACCAGACATCACTACAACCATGAAACCTGCAGATAACACAATGGCTCTAAACCCATATCTTTCAATAATAACACTAAATGTAAATAGACTATATACTCCAATCAAAAGACATAGGGTATCAGAATGGATAAAAAAACAAGACACATCTATTTGCTGTCTACAAGAGACCCATTTTAGACCTGAGGACACCTTTAGATTGAAAGTGAGGGGATTGAAAGTGAGATAGAAGTGAGAACTATCTATCCTGCTACTGGAAGTCAAAAGAAAGCTGGTGTATGACCACCTGGGTGGCTCAGCTGGTTAAGCATCCGACTTCGGCTCAGGTCATGATCTCACAGTTTGTGGGTTCAAGCCCCACATCACGCTCTGTGCTGACACCTCAGAGCCTGGAACCTGCTTCAGATTCTGTGTCTCCCTCTCTCTCTGCCCTTCCTCTGCTCACACTCTCTCTCTCTCTTTCAAAAATAAATAAACATTAAAAAAATTAAAAGAAAAAAAGAAAGCTGGTGTA